TCCCTCCTTCCAGCCCCCCGTTCTTCCTCCCTCCCTCCCTCCCTCCTCCCCCTACCCCCCATCTCGCGCGGGATGGCAGCCGCCGTCGAGGTGGCCGCTGCGCCCAGCGCGGCCCCCAGCGGGCTCTGCGCGGCTTCCGGTGGCCCGAGGGCCCACCCTGGCAGGGAGGGGCGGCGGTCGGGAACGTCTCCTTACTTTGCTCGAGGAGAACACTGCATGAGCATACAGGGTAGTTTTTTTATACATATGATGTTTTAAACAATATAGGATTTTAAATACATGATCAACGTGTGAATTATCCCAGTGCGACCCTACCTAGGAGTTGGAGCCCCTAGGAAAGCAGCATTAGTAGCAACAGTAAAGCTAAGCTAAAGCTAAGTGAAAGCCAAACCAAAGCTATGCTAAAGCGAAGCCAAAGCTAAGTAACGCTATACTAAAGCTAAGATGAAGCTACGCTAAAGCTAAGCTAAAACTAAGCTAAAGCTAAGCTACAGCTAAGCTAAAGCTGAGCTAAGTATAGGCTAGCTATAAGGTGCAGCTAAGCTGAATCTAAGTCAAATCTAAGCTGAAGCTAAGCTAAAGCTAAGCTAAAGCTAAGCTAAATCTAAGCTAAAGCTAAGATAAAGCTAACTCAAAACAAGTCTAAATCTAAGCTACATCTAAACTAAAACTAAGCTAACGCTAAGCTACAGCTTAGTTAAAGTTAAGCTAAATATAAGCTAAAGCTAAGCTAAAGCTAAGCTAAATATAAAGCTACAGCTAAGCTACATCAAAGCTAAAGCTAAACTACAGCTAAGGTAAAGCTACACTAAAGCTAAATTAAAGCTAAGCTAAAGCTAAGCTAAATCTAAGCTAAAGCTAAGCTAAAACTAAAGCTAACGCTAAAACTAAAGCTAAAGCTAAGGCTACTCCCAGGGGACTGGGGGAACCGCGGGGCGGATCCTGGGAGAACCGCCCAGGGCGATTTCCACTGCCTGGCCATTTTTAAGATAGAGAGTAAGAACCCTTCTAGGCAGAGCCTAGGTAGGGAATACATTTATGCTTGAACACATCGTTGTTTTTACTACTAAATCCCTGCATTTGTAATAAATGATCCGCACGCGGAGCATGTATTAAAAACGGCACTGTACACTTTCGACGGTCCGCTCGGATTTCTTGGATCTGCGATGGACCCCTCTGGCGGCGCCTCCGGTTCCGCCCCTGGCGCCTTCCGCACGCTGGGGAGGGGGTCCAGCGCAGATCCAAGAAAGCCGAGCGGACCGTCGAAAGGTGATGTTCATGCAGTTCTTCTTCCTCCATTAGCGTGTTGCGCCGCCTTTTCGTCCTGGCCGAAAGATACCAATGCCGCTGCTCGTCCTGAAGAGCCCTCGTCGCCACGACTAGATTTTCCAGTGCGGAGGGTTCGATGGTTGCTACGAGGGGTGGCGGGGGAAGAGGGGGAGGGAAGAGGGAAGAGGAGGGGGGAGGGGGATGCGGGGCATCAGGTGATTGGGAGCCGTCGCGCACGACAGGGGGAAGGTCGGGGGGAGCATGACCTTCCGAGGATCCATGCGCTCACGGGCTGCGTCCCCCGGGGGCCTCGCCCCGAGGTCTGTCCGAGCTCGCCAGCAGACAAGCCCGAGCATCCACATCAAGGGCCGCAACCGCAGTGCCAAGCGGATCGAGGGCTTGCTCATAGCCGACTAGCAGGCAACGCGACGAGAAGGAGGAGGAGGAGGAGGAGGAGGAGGCTAAGGAGGAGAAGGAGGAGGAGGAGAAGGAGGAGGGATAGCTGAGGAAGGGGGGGGAGCAGGAGGAGGACGAGGACGGTGACTAGGATAAGAAGGAAGGGGAGGGGAAGAAGGATGAGGAAGTGAAAGCACGAGATGACGCCAGGATTAGTACAATTCTGATAATGATGATTCTGATAGAGGATCGGGAGGACGGAGGTCGATCAGGGTTCGATGGATGGGCGACGTTGCCCTAATTATTAGGACATTTTTGGGAGGCTCCGTGGCCACCTCAGGCCGTCCTGCGGCAGTCGTGGAAGCCCTCTTAAAGGCATGCTGGGCTGGAGGCCATCTAGACCAACATTGGACTCTCTTGCGCCGTCTTGGAGGCCATAGTTGGCCATCTGGGGACAGACTTGAATCCTCGGAGGCAGAGCTGACGCTGCCACCTCTCGCGCCGCCTGCCCCCGTCCAGACCCACCGGGGGAGCGGCAGACGCCTGCCCGAGCCGGAAGGCGTGCGGGGAGGACGGGGGTTGGGAGAGAGAATCTGGTCCTCCTCCTGCTCCTCCTGCTCCTCCTGCTCCTCCTGCTCCTCTTCCTCCTCCTGCTCCTGCTCCTGCTCCTCCTCCTCCTTCTCCTCCTCCTCCTCCTCCTCAGCTACGTGCGCTCCTCCTCCTCCTCCTCCTCCTCCTCCCCCTCCTCCTCCTCCTCCTCCTCCTTCCTCCTCCTCCTCTCCTCCTCCTCTTCCTCCTCCTCCTCCTCCTCCTCCTCCCCCTCCTCCCCCTCCCC